CTCCCCCTCCGCCACTGACCAGCCCCCGCTGTTGTCCCCCCAGCAAGGAGAGCTCAACTCCTTCCTCTGGACCATCCGCCGCGACCCCCCCGCCTATCTCTTTGGCACCATCCACGTGCCCTACACGCGGGTGTGGGACTTCATCCCCGACAACTCCAAGGCCGCCTTCCACGCCAGCTCCAGTGTCTACTTCGAGCTGGACCTCACCGACCCGTACACCATCTCGGGGCTGGCCAGCTGCCAGATGCTGCCCCACGGGGAGAACCTGCAGGACGTGCTGCCCCGGGAGCTGTACCGCCGCCTCAAACGCCACCTGGACTACATCAAGCTGATGCTGCCCCACTGGATGACCCCGGACCAGCGGGGCAAAGGGCTCTATGCCGACTACCTCTTCAACGCCATCGCCGGCAACTGGGAGCGCAAGAGGCCTGTCTGGGTGATGCTCATGGTGAACTCCTTGACGGAGACGGACATCCGCTCCAGAGGGGTGCCGGTGCTCGATCTCTACCTTGCCCAGGAGGCCGAGAGGATGAAGAAGACGACGGGTGCGGTGGAGAGGGTGGAGGAGCAGTGTCACCCGCTGAACGGGCTCAACTTCTCCCAGGTAAGGAGGCTCCTGGGCCTCATGGCTTATCACAGAGGTAGGGGATGCTCTCCTCACGTTTCGGTTGGTTTATGGGGGCGAACCCCAAGCCTGTTGCAGTGGGGTGGGTCACTCATGGGCCTCAGCAGCCTTTGTGTCAGGCAGCCCATTCTCCATCGCGCCGATCCATGCTGCCTGCAAAAATCCTGCGATGTGCGCAGCGAGTTTATCATGTGTATTAGTTATTTGAGAGGCAAATGTCCAGGGTGTGAATGTGTGTGTCTGCTGGCTTGCCACTTGTGAGGGAAACTTCCATGCCTCCCGTCCTGTACTGGAGCTGGGTAAAAAGTGATTTTTTTTTTGTTAGTTTGTTTGTTTTTAAATAAAGCAGTTCTGTGGTACTCATCGGGAAGAGGATGAAGCATGAACAATGAAAAATGAAATTTCAACATTGTTCAAATAGATTTAAGTACAAGCAAACTGTCGGTCATCTTTTTAGTAGTCACTGCAGGTCAAAACAAACTGGCTCGTATTGCCCTCATGTACTGGGGGAAATTAAGTCTGCGATCTGCATGGATTTTTTTCGTTTTAGAACAGGTAAAGTTCAGCAAAAAGAAAAGGATGTAGACTAAGAAACAGAAGTTATTGGTGTAACTGGACTCGAGAATTCTTTCAGTGGATTTAGCTTTAAACAACGAAATACTAAGCTATGCGATCTATTTCATTTCAGTGGATTAATCAGGAAGACAGTCACAGCTATTGACTTTGCTTTGTGAAACTGTTTATATGAAATCAGATTTACTAGAAATTCAGGAAATGAATGTGTGTGGAAGAAAACAAACAATCCAGGGGAAATTTAAGATGGTGTCAGTTACTGCTGTGATATTTTGTTTTTAACCTGCTTTTCGTCATTAGTTTTGGATCAGCTATTTCCAGCTTTATCTTACTGTCCTACTTTGAGCAAAAAAATTCTTGGCGATGTGGGAATAAGGATTAAAGGACTGGTCTTTGGAGTGATTAAAATGTCCTTAGAGTGCCTTCACCCCCTTCTCCCCTGACATCTAGTGGGAACTGTTTTAAGGGAGAAAAGTCTGGCTTTCACTAACATTTGGTTCATCCGATATTTCAACTAGCAGTCCAACTCTGCATAAAGCCTTCATAGGAGAAGATTGGTTGCATACACTTTTGGAGGGATTTTCTTGTTTATCAACAAAAATAATTAAAAGAAAGCCCCTCAGGACCTTTCCATTAATTAACACACACGCAAAACAAGGAATTCGTTTTACCCTGTTCTGTTTGAAAGGTTTAAGTGCCTATCCTCTCTGTTGAACCCTTTCTTTAAGGTGAGGTAAAAATAATTAACCATTCCAGACATCCAATAGCATTTGGTTGTATTAGGTCAAAAATGGCAGTTAGAATCAAGCACATGAAAGCACTTGGTTAAAAATGTACCACTTGGAAGCCTTTTAAATGTGAATCATATTACATTTTTTTCTTTTTAGAGAGAGAGAAAGAGAGAGTGACAGAGAGAGGAAAAAGGACAGAATACAAAACTCACTCCTGCTCTTACCATAATTCTGTTTTTCTCTCATTCTCTAAATTTTAAATAGAAACAAAAATTTCCCCTTTGTTTGCTACAATAATGATCTAAAAAAGAACAGCAAAGGTATTACTGCTATTGGCAAGTAAAGGACAGTCATTTATGCAAAAAGTTTGTGCTGATTAAGAAAATACATTACATTTTAATTATTACAGAGAATTGACATTGCTGCTAAAATAAATCAGTGTTCAGGAGCATTTTTCCTAGATGGAAGCTTCTTCTGGGAATAAGGCCACCAGAACAACATGAGACAAAAATTAAACAAAACAAACCAGATATTTATTTTCTTGCTTCCTCTAGATTTCATTCATCCTGACACCTGGCTAGTTGTTTAACAATTGTCATTTGTAATGTTATCAGACTGTCTGGCAGTCCTACTGCTTGGCGTATTACTGTGCTAATTTAGTGGAGTGGATTACTATTGCTAAGTGTCGCCTCCCAATTCCAGGTCTTGAAGCCTTCCTTAAGCAACACATAATTAAAACATACTAAAATGGAAATCAGAAATTGAGCAGCTTTTGTCTTGGAGGGTATTTGCACAGTTTGATGAGAACATCTGTGATAAATTACAGTCCCAAATCTGCTAAGGGCATCAGCAGATTTTACCTGTTTTCAGCATTACTGTTACGGGAATACTGCACGTACTTTCTGCATTCAGAATTCAGGTTTTAAAACTGTGCCTTGCTGAATCATTTCAATGCTTTTGTTTCCCCCGTCCCCAAAGTCCAGTATTTTTGCCCTTAGCAAATTAAAAAAGAAAAAAAGCTTTTTTTTTTTTTTACTTCTTCCCCTCAAAGGCAGCTTTGTGCTACTGCAAATATTTAATCTGACTACATGCACCAAATCTGTTAATCTGATACCGTCAGGTGGAGGAAACCTAGGAGTGGTCCCGATGTGGTACTTGGTTTTGATCTGCTCTGAAAGAAAGCGGATACACTTGCATTTTTGACCAGGAACGATCTTTGAAACGTTCTGTGCGTCGCTTTGAAATGTTGATTGTCTTAGCCGGATGAAAAGATTAAGGTGGCTCATATAATTGGCTGCTTCCTGGAGAGCCAACTCTTGCAGGTAGAGCACGGAGCATTGTTTTCTGTTGTAAACCCAGAAACTTTGTAGTTTGATGCTCTGCTCCCCCTGAAACCTCTGCTCAGTGTTTCATGCTGCTCTTCCAAACCAGCACCGCTCTGATCGCTCTTCTTTCCCGCTGACCGGCTGCTTTCCTGCACGGCATGCAGAGGGAGCATCCTCACTCCCCCTGGGACTCCAGCAGCTGCTGGTCACACAAAATCTGGACCCTGTATACATCCATACAGCTATACAATGCCTGTATACAATACAGGTATTGTATAGCTGGTGGTAAGGTGTCTGAATCGCAGCAAAAGGCTGGGTTGGGAGCCTGGCAACAGGGGAATTCAGATCAAGTTTGGGTCAGATGATTGAAATTTCACCGCTCCTTGGTATACAAAGTTTCAGGGTTTTCACTGAAGGTGGGACAGAAAGAGCTGAGAGGCACGCAAAGAAGAGGAAGCAGACAACTTTTCTGTTTGACAGCACAGATGTTTATTTACTGAGTGGCCAGAAAGTGCAAAATCAAGTGGGCCACGACTGAGAAGAGCTGGTGAGGGGCCGATGGCGTTCAGGGCCTTCCCTTGTTGGGATGCCAGCAGAGGCACTGCGGCAGGGGCCATGACAGGCTGTGAGGACTTGTCCATGCATCCTGTGAGGGCCAGCTTGGGATCGGGTGAAGCTTTCCCATCCTCTTTGTGACCCTCACACGGGTCTGTGGTGAAAAGCTCTCCCCAGGCTGACATATACTGTTGTTGGAGTAAGGAGGATGCTGACAGTGATTCCTATAGCTGCTCAGGTCCGACTGTGTCCACCCTGATCACCCAGGGCTGCAGTGGGACCCCCGCTCAGCCCCAGGGGTTAGCGCCCTCGGGCAGCATCGCATCCCCACTAAAAGCCTGTGCAGTTAGCAAGGGGAAGGTCTTACTCCTCTGCCCAAACCGTTCTGGCCTGGGGAGGTGGATGGTAGCTCTCACTCGTGTTTGATCCTGTCTCTCAGCAGGATCCCCAGACTGAGACAGTGTTGTCCCTTCCTCCAAGTTAGAAATAAAATCCCTCTCCCATCCCATCCCAAGCTCACTCTCTTCAGGGAGAATCTGCATTCAGCCTGTGCCAGATGCCCTTAATCCCGAGGTTCGTGAGGGGAATTTTGTGTCAGGGCCGGACTCCATCCTGACCTGTAGGTGGGGGAAGCCGTCAGGCCGGAGGGGACCCGCCAGCACCCCCTTTTCTCTCCCGACACTGGTCGGGGCTTGCAAAGCCCTGACTCGAGTCTTCTCCAGCCTGTATCATTTCCAACTGCAGGGGGAGATGTTAAATATCAAACCGGTGTTGATTGGATCAGAGACGGCCTCAAAGAAAGAAACCTTAGACCGTGCCAGATTAAACTTCACACTTCACCATTCTTCCCCTTTTATTTCTCTGCCGCCTCATTCTCTGCACAAATAAACCTCGTCTCCCTGCTTTCTACCAATGAGACAGCATTCAAGGGGCAGGAATGACTTTGTTAACAAAATCAGTCTTCATTTCCCAGGTCCTGCTGTTCCATCAAACCCTGGGACATGGCAGCTTTGATTACTCTAGTGATAGGATTAGAGGGGGAACAAGTGCTGTTTAATAAAAGGCCGATGGGTGGTCCATCACGTTTTGGTCACTGACAGATCTGCAGTCTTGAAGCTGGACATTCAGTGGCAAAACAGCACGACGCAGTAATACATAGACAGGGCCACGGCCTGGGCTTGCTATTCCATCTCCCCTATCCCCTTGAAAAATTAAACATTTCTGTGATCACAAAGCTGGGGTTCTTGGAGCTGACAGGGACTAGTATAACTGACTTCAAGGGAAATTTATCTGTTTATACTAATGAAAGATTCAGGCTCAGAGTTTTCCAAACTGGATTAAAGGGCTCAGTTTCAGAGCTAGTTGACTTTTGACAGTCTGTGTAGTTTATTTGATGGAGTATTATTGATTTTTTTTTATTTTTTATCTGTTTTAAAGAAAAGTGGGTTTTGCCTAATAGAAATCATGCCTTTTTGCTTCCAAAAAATTTCAGGCTTCATGAAAAGTTTTCAAAAATAGCTTAGTATCATCTCTTCTGATTGTTGAAAGAAAAGTTGTTAAATAGTTTGATTATATGTAGTTATACATAGTGCATATAGTTTTCAGCTTGCTGGCTTTAATTAAACTGTCACCCTCTTCACCCCCCCGCACCCTGGGGTAAAAATATTCCCCCAGTAAAATTAACCTTGGGGTAGAAATCCGTACAGCAGAAATAGAAATCCTTCCATTTAACTCCTTTTGAATACTAGTGGAGCTGCTTTACCTCTTTACCGGGGGAACTGTTGAGGGTGAAACT